TTAGAATTGGAACAATTTCAGATTCTTTCCATGGTGAGGGAAATACAGATGTCAAAAGTGAACTGTTTATGATCTCGGTCAAAATCGGGAGGATAGCCGGTAGAGCATCTTTCACCACTGCGATGTGTAATTTATCTTTCCCTGGTGCTTTATTTGAAGGAAATCACTGTACAATCCTATTGATCTCGAAGGTAGCAGCCCGAAATCGAAACTCATCTTCTTCGGGTACAAAACTGACAGGGAGTTCTTGATGTAAAGTAGTTAGACCATTGACTGATGCGAGTCTTTTGGCTTCCTCTGCGGCACGTACTCCCACCTCCGTAAAGAATTCATTTAATTCCTTCGCAAGTTCTTTCATATCCCTAGAATAAGCTGGGCGCGACTTCTCCCTAGTTGGTATGCAATTCCGTATCACCTTCCACTGTTCACTAGAGCTCTGATTCTTTTTAACCTCATTCTGGACATACTACTTCTCCGCTTCGCGTAATACCCTCTTAACGTAATTTCGACAGTTCCGATAATAGTGCCAATCCACAAGAGCACCCGTCTCTCGCGCGATTTTATAAGCTTGATCTCTTTTTGCCATTTTCTCTTTGATCTCTTCATTTATAAATGGACATCTCCGATGTTTGATTTTAATTTTCTTAATAGGTGCATGATTATCCAGAACCCGGGAAAAAGGCTTAATTGAAATGAAGCAGTTTCTCATTTACATCGTCAGACAAAATGTTTTCATACCAAGGGATCTTGTTAAGGTCGCTCAAAAAGCTCTGAGGATCGTAGTACTTATAGCTCCTAGTGACAACATAAGCAGCCGGTGGCTTGGGCATCCTTAGATTTAACGCAGCAAAAAACAAGAAGTGATCGCTGATGTGAGTCTCCACTATACCGCTATCCACAATTATTGCCGGGTGAAACACGAGGAGTGGATGAGCCAAGAGCGTGAGCTGTTGGATAAGCAGGTGAAATTCCAAAAGGCCATAGCAGTCAGCCAGCAAGAACAAAATGCAAAGAAAACCGTGACCCCAAAGCTGCTAAAGCTTTCTATCACAAAATTCGATGGAACATTTGCAAATTGGCCGCCGTTCTGGAATAAATTCGAGGCCGAAATCGACAAAACGGAACAGTGTCTGTAACAAAATTTGCCTATTTGCAAGAGCTATTGGAGCCTAAAGCCAGGGTAGACATCGATGGATTGCCGCTTAATACAGAGGGATATGAAAAAGCAAAAATCATAATCAAAGAAGGATATGGAAAAACGAGCGAAGTTGTCAACGCCTATGTCAATAACATTCTTCAACCCACCGTGACAAGCGCCGACCCAAGCAAAGTGAATTCCTTTTACAAAACACTGCTGTTTAACGTCCAGTCACTGGAAACGCTGGTAAGGGGACAAGAAAACTGGCAAGACTAGGATTTACCCCGTTTGGCCCAAGCTCTGAAGAAATGGAGAGACGTAAACCCAGCGACTGAAGGAAATAACGTCGAAAGCATGACTACTCCGTCTAAGTACCCTGAGAACAAATCTCGCTTTTTCCACGCCGAATCCATGGACAAACGCCGTTGTGTTTACTGTGATGACGCAAGTCATCATCAGACATCATGCAGCTGAGTGTAGGAGTAGAATGGGTTGTCAGAAGTGCAGACAGAAACACCATACATCGATTTGCAATCAAAGAGACCAATTGTTGACAGCCACCGGGAAACGAGGGCGTGTTGTTTATCCTGTGGTGAAAGTAAGTGTTCACGCGAGCTCTGTTCGGTCTTATGCCTTCTCCCTTTCTTGATGGGGGAGTGATAGAGTGCCATCTTGAAACCTGGGAATCTTGTACGCCACACCTTGTTGCTGAACTGCGCAAAAGAATGCATGTCGACGATCTGATCAGCGGGAAACCAACAGTACCAGAGGCGAAAAAGATGAAAGAGGGAGCCATAAGAATCTTCGAAGGTGCTAAATTCACGCTGCACAAGTGGCACTCGAATTTTGCCCAGTTAGAAGAGAGTGAAAGACGAGGGCACGTTTGCCAAACAGCAGCTTGGTCAAACAAAAGCAAAGACCGGGAACAAACAAGAAGATCAGACTCCACTCTCGTGGGACAAACAAGAAGATCAGATAAGTGTTACTATGCCTCAATATGATGCAGTCGCGCCAAAAAGAACATTGTTGCTTAATCTGGCAAGAATTTACGATCCCCTTGGTCTTGTGGCGCCGGTAACTATCAAGGTAAAGTTCATCTACAGAGATGCTTGCAACGTGAAGGGGGCCTGGGATGCACCTCTACCCCCACCACTAGCAAGCCAATGGACACGATGGAAGAAAGAGTTACCAGCCGACGTCATGGTAACAAGGGCTCTGACATGTGCCCAAGAGCAGATTGAAAAGATTGAGCTCCATGCCTTTGGAGATGTGAGTAAGAACGTAGTGTGTGCAACAGTGCATGCAGTTGTGAGACAGCCATCAGGGGTGAGCCAGGGTTTGGTTACTGAAAAGGCTCGACTAGGGAAGCAGGGGCTGACCATTCCGCGATTAGAGCTGGTGTCGGCACATATGGCAACGAGCCTCATCACAAACGTAGAGAAGGCGCTTGAAGGGTTTCCTGTTAACGGCGCTACTATGGATGGCTGGATAGCTCAGTGGCTCTCCATTGGATAAACGGTGGTGGCGAGTACAAACAGTTCGTAGCAAACAGAGTGATGAAAATACAAGAGCGTTGAGGGATCACTTGGAGCCACGTACCCACCAAGGGAAATCCGGCAGACCAGGGAAGTCGAGGAGGGCAAGTAAATGACAGCAAGCTGTGGTGGCAAGGACCGGAATGGCTTGCAGACAAAGAAAAGTGGCCTACAGACGTCGTGACAAGCCGCACTCCTGAGAGCCAAGCAGAGGCTAAAATTACCAAAGAACGTTTTTATGGCGCCACTGCGTCAACTGGGTGCCTCAGTGTTCTGCTAGGGAAATTTGACCTGACCAAGACGTTGAGGATTGTCGCCTGGACCGCGAGACTCATACGGAATTCACGCCTGAAGAAACAAGAAAGAATGATGGGTCCATAGACGACCGACGAGATTAAAAACCAGCACCTGTTTTGGACCAAGCGCCTTCAAGAGATTCAAAGCGATGATCGACAAAGACAGGATTTAGAAGAAAACGACCAGGGGATACTCATATGTCGAGGTCGCGTACAGGTACATTACCCGGTATTGCTGGTTTTCAGCGTCACGCCATTCAAAATAGATCAAAATAAAAATCAAAACCGTTCAACAGATAAAGTCCAGAATCTGGGAAATGAAAGGAGATACATATGCAAAGACTCTCGCCAAGATTCAGGTCAGAGGAATGTTTCGTAAACGAGATATCCAAAGAAATGTTTTACCCAAACTTATAGAGATTTGTATGGAGACGCTGGTGCTCACCTGGATGAGCTCCAACATGGCGGACGGAAACCAACAGAAACATCTGTTAGCGAGTTTTGCTGCAAAAGCGTGAATTATTCTTCGAGAAACTCATAAACATTAAAGTAATACTTTTTCTGATACGCGAGCTGTTTAGATAGCAAACTTTCCTGAAATAAGTCACTTTTTTAACCTACATGACAGCTCTCTTGGCCGTCATGTAATTGCCGCGTCACGCAAAAGCTTAGAAATTCAAGCGTACTCTATCGCAAAACCAAGAACTCTTTTGAAGCGAAAATTTGTACGAAAATTAGTTTTCAGCTGTTCTAATGCATCGTGAAAGTAAAAATTTGGTAGGATTGATAGTTTTTTAGTTTGAATTTTAGTGACGTCATGTGAAAACCAGCAATACCTGCCTGACAAGCAGCCCTATACAGTGAAACTCGTGGAAGACGCCCATCGCCGTACGTAGCATGGGGGAGTAAGTTTAACAATGGTGCGGATCAGAGAGCGTCATTGGGTACCGAGGCTCAGACGTGTGACCAAGAGAGTGATAAAACAGTGTTATGGTTGTCACCGTTTCCAAGTCAGAGCGGCTGGTAAACCACCTCTAGCCTTTGGAACTGTCTTGCGACCGGAAGCCTTTGACAACTCAAGAACAGCTAAACCCAGAGGTTCGAGAGTTCAGACCTACCCGTGACGCTGCAATTGCAGCGAGAGTACAAATGCAAGATATTGCTGATAAAGAGCAAGCCAACTGAACATTGAAAACCGACTCTGTAGAGGGTTTAAGAATCATTTCGGGTTTTCTGTTATCGTTTTGACTTCCAAGAAGGTTTAGTATAATATGGTTTCTAGAGATAAATGCAACATATGTCACCTAAAGGTAGAGATATGGGAGGAGAGTGTCGGAAATGATAACCAATCTCCTTTGTAAACATGATTTAAGTTTTGTTTGATTTTAGTCACGTGATTTAAAGGAGGCGTTAAGTGATAGATTACACGTGAGAACCCGATAGCCCTGAACTTTGGAATTGAAAGCGAAGCTGAAAACCTCGTGATTGATGATAAAATAGTAGAACAATAGGAGATAGTAAAAGAAAATTATTTTGTGATGAGAGTGTGCTGTACATGTGAGGAAAGGAATAAACACCTTCTGTGAGTGTGTTGGATAGCAAATATTTTGGAGGCAATTCCCAACAGGGTTACTGACAGTTTAAAGAAATTTAAGACCACGTTTGATTTAAACAGATCCGGACATATGAACGGACAAAAACTTACACAACGCCGCATTTCGTTTACACAGAACCCGCGAACAGTGCAAGTTTTTGAACGGCATATCATATCCCGAAATTTGATACAGAATCTGCACGGTTCCACAATGTAAAAGGGTTGCACGGGAAAAGCCTGAATCATTTATTTGCCCGATCCCGTGTAAACGGTATCTAAGATAAATTTTTCATTTTAATGCACGGGTAATTTCATTGATGAATGAAGCTTCATCCGACTCAACCAGCCCTTGCCCTTTTGGGTACTGCTGAACACATTTGCTCCACTAGCCCATATTTAAGTGAGAAATCGTCGCAACGAAAATTTGCCATACCCGATTAGAGGTCAAACGCCGCTTCTCGAAACCGGCCTTTGCCTTCCAAAAATGCAACCTCACTGACTGGGCATAGTTTGATATCGTTCTGATATGAGAGATAACTCTTGATCCAAGATGGGCTCAACAGCGGTTGTCTGTCAAAATAAACAGCTGGCAGAAAGAGGCATCTCAGAAGAAAGCTGTCAACCAAGGACTTTAGCTATTAGCCTTCAACCTATCGTTTTCGGTAATTCACCCAGACTACCAAAAGTTGAGTTTGTTTGTGCTGAATGTTTGTGCTCAGGCTCTTGGGCGTTGAGTCTAGGTTGCGTTCTCTCGACGTCGAACGCAATAACATCTTTTTATCAGTCAAGTCAATTTTCAATTTATTTTTCAAGATATTCTTCTTCACAATCTCTTCTTTCTTACTGTCTGTTTTAGGTTTTCAGCCCCTTGGCTAAACCAAAATGCTTGATTGTTCTCTTTGTAACTGTCAATGGCGGGTGCACGACGCTCTAAGTGGGCACGTGACGTAATCTAACCAATAACATCGCGCTAAAATTAAATACTAGGAAAGTAAAATGTTGCTTATATAAGTGTTTTTGATACACCTTCAACTGGAAAAAATTACGCCGAACAATGTGGCTAGCAAATTAAAAGATACACAAACCTTTCAATAGTCTTTAGCTTCTTTTTTCTGTAGCACCAGACAGCAATAGCCACGGACAGTAGCAAAAAAGTGGAGGTGATACCAAGTGAGATGTAAATGACTTTAGAAATGGCGCGGATCGGATTTTCGGTTTTGGTGTTCTTAACTGCAAGGAAAGGTATTACATTATAAATGGCATAGGAAACGTGCGAGTATGCGCTGATTAAAACAGGTGCATTATCTTGTGAAAACTTACAAAAAGGTTCTTAAAATCTACTTCGCTGCTAAGCATGGCTATTCCTCCTTCATAGATCCTCGTTAAAATAAAGTAAGTTTTCCCTGTTTCTGGGTAACATGGCACGGCGGACCTAAAGTAACAATTTTTAGCTATTTTGTGTCCATTATAATTGAGCTTACTTACCACTATTACACAGATCTCCTTCACAACAGTACAAATGATGACCATCAAATTGTCTGCATTGATCAGCGGATATACAGCCTTGAATGGTGACTTGTTCGCCATTTGCCGTTGTGTTGTCATATTTGAAACAAAGGTTTTCTGGAAAAGCACAGCTGACCTTAATGGGAACGGGGGAATTCCTGCTAGGGTACTCATAACAAACAGTACCTAAAGATAAATGCAGAATAATAGAAGTCTTTAAAACCATCGAGTATCTCTGACAAGGTCTCTAACCTCAAACTCTGGAGCAAAAGCGTGAAAATATAACTTGTAGACAAGCCTAAAAGCGGAGCTTTTATTAAATTGGAAGTGATTCATTAAAATTTGATAGACCTTAACCAGAAAATCCCAAACGAAAGCTTAATAGGAAAAACATAATGCACATTTCGCATTTTAGGAAAAAAGTAACAATTTTCAGGCAACGTCTTATGTGGTTGTTGCCGTATGAATAAACAATTAACTACGTAGAATAATGTTGTTCAGGGCTCTCGTATTGAGCTTGGGCTACTTTTGCAATAATGTGCAAGTGTAACCTTCTCGATGTGGATGATAGAAAACGTACTTGTTGTTGACGCTGGCATTTCACAAATATAGTTCTTTTGGTCGTTACAGTCACCCGCCCTTTCTATCATTCCAGTGTCTGTCTTCATTTGCCAACAATTTGAATCACCTTTTCGGCCAATCCATACGTGCTGTATAAAGGAATTACAAGGGATACAGAAAAAAATATTAAATGGAACAATTTACTACAAAAGCCACAATTAATTAAGGTGGTGAAAACAGTTTGATAATGGGAGTGTCATTCAAGAGTCGTCATGGTATAATGCTCATATTTGATATGGACAGAATACATCCGCTAAGGACAATGAATTTGACGTTTTCGAAGTAAGATTGCGATCGTTACCATGGTGACAAGGATGTTTTGAAAAAGCCTATTTTTCTCAATTTGTTAAACCTGGTTTTCACAAGCGCATCAGTATAAGCATAAAGACATACGCACGCGCAGAATGGCATTTTTGACTCAATTCTCGATACCAGCTCTCCTCAACCCAGTGATAAACAAGATGGCGGACGTAGCGTCCGTCATACTGCTTTTGATATGTTCGCATGAGGTCTGGGTCAAAGTGGCTTACGATTGGTCCACGGCCTTGTGCTTATGCTTGTGCTTATGTCGACCCAGTTTTCACTTGCTTACACTTTTGCTCGTGCTTGTGCTTATGCTCCAGTGAAAACCAGGCTTAACCTCATGATAACTTCTCGGCCAAGACTGACAATATGACAGTATACAGTTACTTAATTATGATCACTTACAATCAAATTAAGTTAATAATTTTTGTCAAGAAGGGCATATATCGTTATTCAATCAAGGTAGCATTTTAGATCAAGACGTCTCAGCTGATGAGAGGCAGAGCAACTGGTTTTCTATCAAATTCACCAGCATTGCTTGGAATGTATGTATGTATGAACGATAAACTTGCATTTTAAAATAATTCAGTTTGTACGCTCAGCCTGCCAAAGTAACTGAGAAACGTGGTCTTTTGAACATTTACGTTTTTCAGGATACAGACATAGATGAAAATGGAATTAAAACTGTCTACATCACTGTTTCAGTTGGGTCTGTGACACGAAGTACACAGAAGATGTGATTTCTCCGCTTTCCTCTTTGAAATCTCTTCTTATAATTAATTACCCTAGCCTTAAGCGTGCTCTATCAACTGCATAAAAAACCTGACATCTCAAGTTAATGCCCATTTCCTGTCCTTACACTTTTCCCACAGATGTGGTGGGAAGAGTACCGTGTTTATTCACTTATAATGCACCTATCAGTGTAATGCCGGCGGGGGGGGATGGAGGGCATGGGGTGGGGATTTGACTTTTTTCAAAAATTTGCAATCAAATTCCCTGCCCACGGGCAAATCATTCCAGTCAAATGCAACCAAATTTCCCCACCCCAGGCTGCACACTGCTGTCAATCCCAGGGCAGAACCCAAGAAAGGGACAATAAAAATATCTCCAAATAAAACTCCGGAATCTTTTATAAACGTTGCTGCATCACCAAAGATACATGTTCCTGTTACAGCTGCAATTATACGTTTTAACCATAATCCGTGTTATACTGTGTAGAATACATAAACCTTTAGGAGAGAGTCCACATTTTGTAAGTTTAAAAATCATACCGTTCTTAGTAAAGGGTACAAAGAAAGTCAGTTTTATAAGTTTACTGTGATTGTAGCGAACGAGCCATTCACTAATCAATTGTACTTGCAAAAATCGACTTGGTTTCTCTTTTCTTCCATTTACTTTGATACCACAGTATTTTAAGAGATTCAACTGATCAAAAACACGCTAAAACAGGGGGGACGTCCGTACACAGGCTAGTTCTCATTGGTCTCCATGACTTCCTGATCTTTTCAAACCGTACGGCGCATGCGTGAAGCGTGGAAGCGGGAAACATATGTTCAGTCTTTTTCGTCCGAGTCGGCAGTCAAATATCTCCACGTCGGGCGAAGAAAGATTCAAATATCCCCTCCCCTGGGACAACAAGATCAGTCAAATACCCTACCCCAGGGCCAACAAAGACAATCAAATCCCCACCCCATGCCCTGCCTCCCCCCGCCCCGCCGGCTTTACATTGATAGGTGCATAAGACGCACTCGGTTAGAAGACGCACCCTAAACTTTCGAAGACGATTGTGACAAGTAAGCAAAATCAAAATTTCATCTAAATACCGTGTTATAAGGCGCACCCAGAATTACGGGAAAATTTTGTTGACCACGTTCGCTGTTCTTACAACAATTTGCTTCCAGAAGTTACTAATTACGGTGCTTTCACTCTCAAAACAAAAGCGAAAAAGTCACACATTACAAACAATAGCAAAAAAAGTCACACACAGACAATAACATAAAAGTCACACTTTTTAATTCACTCAAGTCATCCCTCTCAGGAAACAGCGTTTCAAGTTATGAATACTAATCGATCCGTTTTTACGTTTATAAACAATACTCATCTGACAGATCTTTCATTCATCAGTTGCAAAACTCATCTTAGTCTTCGAGCATTCGTTCAGCGTACCGTAAATTTTCAGTAATTATGCCAAGCACCCGTCGTCATTCCTATGATCTAAACTTCAAGTTGAAGATCGTAGCAGAAGCAGAAGCCGTGAACAACAACCGTGAAATTGCTCGCGAATACGGAATATCGGAATCGATGGTCCGTAAATGGAGAAATCAACAGCATGTCTTGTTCTCCGGCGAGTTAAAGATGACTGCCAAACGTGCCCCGAAGGTGATATTCAAAGGCGTTCGTCAGCTGCGAATCGAGGTGCCCAGGAGAATGCAGGTTTCTGTACACAAGAAGGCCTGGATGGACGAAGAAGGTTTGTTATTTTTCCTTTATCGTTTTCGGAGTATTTATTAGCGACCATGACAATTAGGCTTTTGTACATTATGCTACAACCAGTTGCAAAAACGATGAGACACTCCCACGGAAAAACGACCTTTCTTGCTTCAAATCACTCCTGGTCACAGGTCTGTAAAATATAATACTGACCTCCCTCCTCCCTCCCATTCAAAGTTGTTCCTCCAAGTTTTGAGTATGGTCTTGTATTGCTAGCAACTTTGATAAGGGGTGGAGGGGGGATCGCAAGCACAAGATCATAGACAGGCCATTTATGCCAAAATACGGTACAGTGTCTCAAGTACTTTTGCAACTGGTTGTAGCATTTTTTTGAGCATTTTAGCGAGGCAAAAGCATTGAGCATTATTCGAGCATTTTAGTGGCATTTCTCCCGGAAAATTAATTTTTCCGAGAAAATAAAATAGAAATTAACTTTTTTCAGGAGCCTATGCCTCATGAGCTCCTGCTTTTTTAAACAAAATGAAGACTAAAATTCAAAATTCACAAAAAACCTAACACAGCTGTTTTTTTTGGCTGTATTTATGAACTTGTACACGTTGTCGTTGTTACTTGCAACACTTGCACGTTTTTGTAAGTGTAAACTTTAAAATTAATCTTAAAAAACCGTTTGTATAATGAGCATTATCCGAGCATTTTAGTGACTTTTTTGGGGAGACCGAGCATTTTAGTGGGAAAAATGGAGCATGAAGGTGGAGCATTTTAGTAGGGAAGCAAAAGCATAATGTACAAAAGCCTAATGACAATTTTATCGAACGATTTGTAGTCACGTTTGCCTCATTTCGTGAGAGCGAGGTTACGAATTTGTTCAATTGTTTCTGACGTCAATCATTTCAAGCACGTGCTTTTTAGCACGTTCGCTCTTTGCTCCCTTGGAAACACTCGTTAGAAAGTCGTCTTTAACTGTAGTCTAACCAGCGTTTTTTTTCTACCTTATAGGAACCAAGGAGTGGATTCGGAAGAATCTTCGATTTACGCCTGAACATCGAAGACTTCTCGTTTGGGATCTACTTGACAGACGAAACGTCGATGTTGCCGTAATTCCCGGTGGCCTCACTCCAGTTCTCCAGCCCCTGGATAAGTGCATCAATAAGCCATTCAAAGCAAAGGTCCGTGCGCAGTACGAAGCCTGGATGGTTAACCGCCCGTTTACCTACACGCCTTCCGGAAAGAAGCGAGCGCCCAGTAAAGAGATAGTGTTGCGGTGGATCGACCGAGCATGGAGAGAGATCCCAGTTGATAACAAGATCGTTCAAGTCCTGTGGCATCAACAATGCTCTCGATGGAACTGAAGATGATGCGGTTTGGGACGACGAGGAAGAAGAAGCAGAAGACGCAGAAGAGCCGATCGACAACGAGTTCGAGACAGACACCGAAGGCGAGGACGACGAGTAGCTGAGCTCAGCCGAGCTTTCAAACCAACAGTTCTTTTCAGAGCCACCCCGGTTCTTTTCAGAACCAACAAATCATATAAAGTCAATGATCAACGTTGTTTGTCTTTTGTTTATTCATTTACAGATATTTATTTACATAGTCATTTCAGTTTAGCATTATTTATTTGGGAAATTTGGAAAAGTTATATTTTGTTGCGCGAAAATACTCGGTTATAAGACGCACCCCGAGTTTTGAGCAGATTTTGATCAAACAAGCATATTTTCTTGTAAAAAATGGTGCGTCTTATAAGTATTATATATATTAAGAATCAGTTGCATTCACCTCTGGTGATCATGTTCTTATATAATTAATTCTTGTGACTACTATGTTTTATAATGCATTAATATTACATGGAGAAATTTCATGCTGATCATGTGATCATGAAGCTCAAAGAGTTAATGACTCGATACTTACATCTACGTTGGGTTTCTTCAGACCGGTGACCTCCATGAAGTGAATCAAAAATTGTTTTTGATTATCATCATCAACCTTCACTAAATCACCTCCGGAAGCAGTACACCCTTGTCGTGCACCTTCCCAGGTACCGTTTCCATTTTCCTTGTAGCAAGATACTCCATTGAAAAACCAACCAGCAGAACAGGCCAATGGACCTCATTAGTGAAACATTTACAGAGCAAATAGTTTGAAACCAATATGAATCATGGCACAGCTGTAAACGTTAGAGAGACTGGGACGAGAATCAGAGAACAAGGAATATAATATTCTAAAATTTCCCGGTAATCAATCAGTTGTTATATTTCATTTTTTAAAAATAGAATACAAGAAAAATTAGGATCTTTAATATGTGTTTGGGTGTGATAATTCTAACATGTAAAATTTGCATAATTATGGGCTTTGGCTGGTCTTGTGACAAAAATTGCATTGTAACCACCAAATAATCTCCTTTAACCCAGCAAGGTTATAATTGAGGTTAAAATGACTGCGAAAAAAAACGAGAAAACAAATGGAAAAAGCCAAATATCAGGGTAGAATCTAGCCTGCCTAAAATTTAAAGGCGTAAAGGCTATCTAAAGTCCGTTTAAGAGTTTAAGCGCCTTAATGGATCAAATTTTACCTGTGTTTGGGTCGTACCTGGTACGATTGGAACTTCCCATCATTTTCAATGTCGAGTTCCCACACAGGAACAACTCACCTTTCGGTCTCTTGCAGATGAGATGTTTATTTTCCTTGCAACATTCGGTGAGGTTCCAGCCACTTTTCAAGATTTCGACGCATTTATTTTCATAAACAATTCTCGACATGTTCAGCCGCTGGACAGAAACAGAAATGTTAAACGATTTTCCATTGTTCCATACATATCCACCCTTTTGATGCCGATACGCCAACCCAATCCAAACAGAAGTGCGGTTTGCGTCCTTGAAAGCCATGTCATGGACAAACTTCATTTCCTTTTCATTCGATATACTTACCAGGTCTCCTTCAAACCCATCCTCGGAGACCCAGGGGCAGTTAGTCGGGTCGATAAAATGTTCGTGGTGAAAGTTTTCTGTAAGATCGAGACGAGCCCCTGGGCACTTACTCTTACCGAGCCAGTTCCAGAAGCGTTTGAATTGCCTGCTTCTGATTGGCCAGAAAAATTTTTTTCTGGCCAATCAGCGAAGAGAAGTTGCCCGGTGACTCTCGTGTTTTCTTACACGACGTAGTCTTCCTCATCGATCGCTATAGTTGGGTAGCGCGCTCAACGGGGAAAGTTTCTCGAGGAAAGTTTCAGAACAAAATGTTAACAACCCGCAAAATTGCAACCTTTAGCACGGCTACAAGAAACAAACACTCTCCGATGAATTTTTAGGGCGGATCTTTCCAAGGTATCGTAAATTTTTATTGCTGATACGATACGCGATGCATGACTTTCACTTTCCACTCCTTGATTTGCTCACTTTGTCTAGTATACAACGCCAAGCTTACATTTTAGATGTCCATGTTCGTGGCCCGACTTCTGAAACGTTCTACAGCGTGAAAATTTCCGTTGCACGGGCCACGCAACTACGTCGATTGATCGTGGGAATTGCTGGCTTGCTGCAGTGCACGCACCTTCTTGCTTTCGTGCCAAACTCCCTTACCGTACGTATTTTAAATACAGCCGTTGTGTTTAGTTCGAAATCTTGGTCCGGCTATGCGCTGAATCCTGACTTGTTAAGTGAGGCCGATTTTTGCTGGCTGTGTGGGTTTATTTTTACGGATAAGTGAAGAAAAAAAAATAAAGGTGAGTTTGCGAAAATGTTTGAAAGTGGTTGGTGTGAAAGTTTTGGAGGGCGATAAACGCGCAGTGTTTGACACGTGTAGGTACAGAGTTGAGAAATCGTGGAAGGGTGGGATGTCTATATAGATATTTTTGTAGTCACTAAAACTTTACAAGAAGTGAACGCTCTTAACGAAATCCCAGGGAGAAGAGACCAAGGAATAGGGACACTTTCCAAAGATCCAACTTCAGCTTTTGATTTCACGGACCTGGGTCTCTGGCTTACTAAACCGCATAAGAGAACCTGGGTTAATCTTCACTGTGATTAGAATTATGGCTAATAACATATATTATAGTAGAAATGAATTTCTATTATAAGATATCTTTTAACAAATACATGTATAAAAGTAATTTCACATAATATGATTTTTTTGCCAAACTATTTATCTTTGATTGACTTGATGTTTCCCCTTAATGACCCCCTCAAACACATCCACAGTGCCATTGTTTTAACTCCCTTGGAATTGATGGTACAAGATTGGACTTTTTTTGAAAAAATAATGCTGCAATATTAACAATTTTCCTTTGGTGCATTTGTTTGATATTTCATAACTTCCCTATCATAATTCTCCTCATCTGACAATAATATTCTTCATTGATAATTATTTTTAAATCGTTAAACACCCTCTTCAGAAAGGTAAAAACCTTCATTGCATGGTCACCATTCCACACAGTGTCTCTAAAATACTTTCCACATAATTTATTACAATTATCAATTATTGTTTCCTGTAGAAGACAATCAGAGAATACAAATTCTAGAATACAAGCAGTTAAGATTTGATTCTTGAAATTCCTGTCACAGATCATCTTGATTTTCTTTAAGCAGACTAACAGTCTTTGGCACTGATGTTGCAACATAAGTGGCTTGGAATGATTCTGCTGTTTTCATTACTGTCATCAAAAAAGGAAGGAGTTTTTTTCTCTTCTGCAGGTTGTACCCTTAATAAAATCTAAGAGAAGAAAGACTTTTAGAATTATCGAAAACAGTAAGAGACAATTTCAGCCCAATTCCCTTTTTTCCAGAGAGTGTTGGAAAACAGTTTTTGTATGTTATGTGTACGTATACCATATTTACTTGTGTATAATGTGCACCCGAACATAATGCACACCCCATTTTTCTAGACAGTTTTCAAATAATATACTCAAGTATACTTGTTGGCCACCTAGTAAAACAAACCCTTTGGGATGGAAAAAATCACCAACAAATACCCCAGCATAAATGTTTATTAACAAATTTAAAATAAAATAAAATATTACAGCTCCCTAGTATATACATAACTCAAGCAGTGTTATAAGTAGACATGTGAACTCCAATAAAAAAGTAAAAAAAAAATCTCAACAGCTTAAAAATAAAATTAATATAATGGCATCTGTAGTTCTGTATTATGGGGTGTTTTTCCATTTATAATATGTAAATGTTCAATTGCACTATTATCTTAAGCAGTCACAAGGCTTACTTCATTAGCTTTCAATTGTTAATAAATGGTGACAAAAAAACATGATAATTCTTGTGAAGTGTCTGTCAGCTTTTAGACATAAGATTACTGAGCGTCCTTGAATAAAAGCCAGATCTACTGTTAAGTATAATGAGGGTCCTGAAGGGGAGATATCAATCCCATTGAAACTGTTTAACCCTCAATTCCCATTTTTTTATGTTTTTTCCCATTCTCAGTGATAGAATCTCCCTGCCAGTGACTTAAATACCATTTTCCCAGAGCAACAACATCTCATTTAACCCCTTCAGAACTCCCCACAATGAATTCAGTGTAACACCTTTCATAGTAAACAAATCAGCATACTTACCAATGAACAGCTGTATGTACCTGCAACGGAATTCTTCTGGTAAAACTCCTTAAAGAACATTGCCCTGAATTTCTTGTCCCCCAGTTAATGATTCCGGGCTTCCGTACAACAAAGAAAATGCTCCCTATCCATTCAATATTTCCCGATCTTTTGTTTTGCTTTCCCCTTTCCCAACATTTGGAAGGTTAGACTCTTCTATCAATTGCCCAAAAACATCTCTTCTTTCCACAATCTTCTCAATAATAAATCTTTGCTTCGCTTTGAACTGTACCACAGGAAACAAAGACAAGCCTTTTAATTCTTCAAGCGCTTGCTGGAGGTCTCCCTCGAATCTAAAGTTAACACTACTATCAACTTCGGTAGAATTCGAACGGTCAACTGCTGTAAGCTTTTAAGCTTAAAAGTTTCGAAAGGAGTTTGGAGCAAAAGCAAGAAGAAGGCACTGCAGCTAGCCGGCATTTCCCACGATCAATCGACGTAGTTGCGTGGCCCGTGCAACGGAAATTTTCACGCTGTAGAAAGTTTCAGAAGTCGTGCAACGAACATGGACATCTAAAATGTAAGCTTGGCGTTGTATACTATACTGTGAGCAAATTAAGGTGTGGAAAGTTAAAGTCATGCATCGCGTATCGTATCAGCAATAAAAATTTACGATACCTTGGAAAGATCCGCCCTAAAAATTCATCGGAGAGTGTTTCTTGTAGCCGTGCTAAAGGTTGCAATTTTGCGGGTTGTTAACATTTTGTTCTGAACCTTCACCTTAGAAACCTTCCCGTTGAACGCGCTACGCAACTGTAGCGATCGATGATGAAGACTACGTCGTGTAAGAAAACAGGAGAGTCACCGGGCAGCTTCTCTTCGCTGATTGGCCAGAAAAAAATTTTTCTGGCCAATCAGAAGCAGGCAATTCAAACGCTTCTGGAACTGGTTCGGTAAGAGTAAGTGCCCAGGGGCTCGTCTCGATCTTACAGAAAACTTTCACCACGAACATTTTATCGACCCGACTAACTGCCCCTGGGTCTCCGAGGATGCTTCAAACCCAAAACATCCGCTTAAAGCTGTTGACCAAGCATATCTCCGCCGATAACCGAGCCTATCCATAACCTTGTAGCAAAAGCCTTCAAATTCTTTCCACGTTTCTGGGCATTCCAAAGCTAAAAAGGATCAAATTGGGCACTTTTGACTCTTGTGACTTAACGATAATGAACAATGCAAGCCAATTATTAAATGAGGTCGGTCAAGGTCTTTGTAAGTATTATAAGCCATGGCCGAAGGCGGAGGATGATAACACGAACTGTGCCGTAAGCAGCCGTGGGTGTCTAAATGCACCCTCCCTACTAGAGACATTCACGGCCGCTCCTAAAAAAGTTTTTAAAAAACTAACATCGACCATAGCGCTCGAATGACCAAACAGCACAAGAAATCTCTCAGTTAATTGTCAAATTAACACTGAAATTGTTAGAAACCAAATGGACATACTTACCAGAATAACGCCTTGTTACCGCCAAGAGGAGTGACACGAACAGTGCGAGTGTTATCATTATGGCATCAGATCTGGGAAGAAGTTAAAGTTTAGAGACCGGTCATTATTTATCGCCCGGGAGGGAGGGGGGTCCGGAGGTTTTTTTGGGGGGGTGGGGTCACTTGACTATTAGGAGAACTGAACGCGGGTCCCTTTGTGAAATCACAGACAAAAAATTAGAAGAATTCAATTAAAGGGACCACTAAAATCTACTTGGACAATACCAGTTTGAAAGCATGTAAAATAAATGCGTCCATTCTACTGGGCGATAAATGTCTGCAGTCTCAACTGGTTCTAAGTTTCACAAGAGCTGATGTGCCTCGAGTCGCTTCTCCCTGCATTGTTTTTTGGACTTTCCTCTTGCTTTCCTTCTTTCTTCCTGTCGTTGATGATGATTTTTTTGGGGGGGGAGGATGGCGAAAACTTTGGGGAGAATCACGAAATTTATCAAGAGTCACGAGGAGGATCACTTCAGTAAAACATCATTTAAAGGGAGGGGTCCAAAAAATTATCCGAGCAGCCCCTCCCCCCCCTCCAGGCGATAAATAATGACTGGTCCCTCACAGAAGCAGTTCCTCGATCAATGATCATGATTAATAAATCGTTACCCCAAGAGCAAATCAGGCCGCACTTTCTTTGGGTTTACCAACGAAATAACTTAAGAGGCATACTGGGAGAACACCATTTACAAGCTGTTTTGATCTCTTGTTCTCCCAACATCCCAAATATAATTAAATGGGTTCTTTCGCCGGTTAATCAATAGAAAGTGAAGTCTATTCCTTGCGTATACATAGTTTTTGCAGGCAAAAATATGGTTTATTATGTCATAATGATGAAGTTGCGTCTTCTGTGTACATTTTTCAGTTTAGGCGCGGATAATAGTCCCAAAACAACGATTTTAATGTAAATATGGTGGCATCGCGCCAAAGATATTATTTTGTTCCGATTTCAATCAAGGTAGAAACAGCATTATTCTGAAAGAGCATGTTTTTGTATTTCGGTTACGAAAGCAAGTGTGCACTGTTTGAATACAGAAGTAGAAGATTAAACATCAAACTGTTCGCGGCTGTTGTATATTTTTGCTTAATCGACTGTTATACGTGTATGAAGTGCAAAAATGTTAGAGACTGAAAGGATCATGGAGACAAAAATTAGGCTAAGCATATCAGCTTGAACTTCCTGTCTGCGAAACTGGAACAGATGGCAGAGGTCTTTAACTGTCATGGAAGTGCGCACGGTCGTATTCAGTTCTCATGCAAATGTTGCTAACATGCACGGGACAAGAAGACAAAGGTAAAAAATGGAAAGAAAGATAGAAACAAAAATCGTCACAGCTTTGATGTTCAGTCACTCGGACAATTTAAAAACTTGGATCAAATGCCACGATTCCAATAGCCCCTCTTCCCCCCATCCCCGCCGCTACATATCACTGGTGCTGTCAATCGAGTTCTCTAACCGAATATGCAACTTTCTTTTTTGTTGTTGTTGTTTTCTGTCGATGAAATTTAATTTATCGCCGAGTTACCCTATAAAAGTCCACGACTTAGTGGGTGCTTCCACACAGTTTCCTTTCTTACTATAGTATTGAAAACCATTTAAGATCCGACGACGGCGACGGTTACGAGATCGTCAAAAACGTATAATACAGTTAATATTAAGAACAACTTTGCCCGTGCACCCCCTTTTCTGTACATTTTCTTTGCCGTCACTGCATATCTACGACGTGAAAATGCCTAATTTCATGTTGTACGACGAAATCTTCTTATTCTTTCTGAACGTGCATACGGATCTTTGAAATTCAACCCTACGAGAGCTCCCTAGATTTGACAAAGTAAGCTCAGTTAATCACGATAAAGATGGAAAGAACGTAATTTCACTTTTTAAGCGGGAAGTGTTCGCCACCGTCGCGATCGTCGGATCTTAAGGTCCCTTTTTACACCTTGTATTTACGTGTGGCATAATATTAAGTCCCAATTAACACTTCTTAAAAATTTTGTTTCGTACAAAAAAAAGAAAAGAATGCTTGACTATTGACTAGACAGAAAACACTACGCAGGTTTAACCCTGATATATATTTCAGACAAAGAGCATGTCGTGTTTCTGTCGACGTATAATTTCTCTTCAGTGTCAGATCAAGCAATCGCAAGGATACATGAGACTGGAAATATACTCTTACCTGGAGTACCGACGCTTTCTTTCTTCCCAATTTTACAGCAGACAAATAAAACACTTGTCTCTCTTCCTTCATTCAACTAATAGACTGATAGGTACAGTAAAATTTTGTTTTCAAAATAGGAAGTTAAAAAATATGCAGGTGCCGTTAATTACACGGCTGTTAGCTATAGATCATGAACAGTTATATGAGATGCAATTTGTCTACATCCACGTTATTGACAAATAGCCCATAACGTTTCAACAATCAACTTTTTCTCTTTACTCATAAATTACCATTCATTCCTTCTAAATATTAAATATCCATTGAACAACGGGTAACAACTTACATATTACATAGAACTGGCAACTGGTAGGTTATTAGTGTTCAGACGGATGAACAGCCGTGGAGTAACCGGAAGTAATATGTACGTCACAAACTTTTCAGGACCATTTCAGGTCTCATAGGCGACATAGTTTTTTCAGGCAAAAATAGGGTTTATTATCATGTCATAATGATCAAGTTGCGTCTTCTCTTTACATTTATCAGTTTAGGCGCGTATAATAGCCCCAAAACAACGATTTTAATGTAAAGATGGTGGCATCGCGCCAAAGAAATTATTTTGTTTATTTTGTTTATAATTATTTCTCTTCCATCAAGCAAGAAACACTAGCATTATTCAAAGCGGTATTTTTGTATTTCGCCTACGAAAGCCAATGTGCACTGTTTAAATACAGAGGTAGAAGATTAAACATCACACTGTTCGCGGCTGTTGTTTATTTTTCCATCATAACGTCGGCAAGATAATGTTGAAGTGTATTTCAGCTCCAGAAGGGAACTAACACGTAGAGACTTTGATCAGGATCACGACTTATGATAGTTCAGAACGGCTGAATTTTTTCGATTTGTGAAATTTACTGAGAATATGGGACTGCCCGCCATTAAGTGTTTTGAAAACCTTGACCGGCAGTCGAGCTGAAAAATGTTCTAAGTGTCACAAAACACGGTTTCGTCTTCTGAGCCCAGCGTTAACCAAACACTAGATTTGAGATCTATAAAGCATTTCAGGATCGCTTGACCTGTCTTAATCTACATATGATAGTTTAGATTAGCTAGAATTTTTCGATTTTGTGAAATTTACTGACAATATAGGACTGCCGGCCATTTAGTGTTTTGAAAACCTTGACCGGTTACCGGCCATGTAGCCACAGCGTTTATTTTTGCTTAGCCGACTGTTCTTCGTGTATGATTTCAAAAATGTTAGAGACTGAAAGGATCAAGCAGACGAAAATTCTATGCACATCAGCTTAAACTTCCTGTCTTCAAAACCGGCACAGATGGCAGAGGTCTTTCAAAACCTGTCATGGAAGTGGTCGTATTCAATCCTCATGCAAATCCTTCTAACATGTACCGGGCAAGATGACAAAGGGAAAAGATGGAAAGAAAGATAGAAACAAAAATCGTCACAGTCCTGATGTTTAGTCACTCAGGCAATTTAAAACTTGGATCAAATGCCAGAGTTCGAATACCCCCCCTGCATATCACTGGTTCTGTCAATTAGGAGGACGTCTCTAACAGGATATGCGACTTTCTTAATTTTTTGGTTTTCTGTCGGTGTCTTTTGGTTTTCTGTCGTTGTCGGAATTTATCGCCAAGTTACCCTATAAAAGTCAACGACTTAGCGAGTGCTTCCACACAGTTTTATGTCTTACTATAGTCATTGAGGACCGTTTAAGACGGCGGTGACAGTAATAACAAGAACGTCAAACAAACAATAGGGTTAAAAACTAAGCAAAACAACAACTTCGCACGTACACCCTCCTTTTTTGTACATTTCTTTACCGTCACTGCATGTCTACGACGGAAAATGGCTGATTTCATGTTTTATGGAGAACGTAAACAAGATACGACGAAATTTTCTTATTCTTTCTGAACTTGCATATGGATTTTTTGGAATTCAAATCCAGAATAGTTCCCTACATTCGACAAAGTGAGTTCAAATAATCACGATAAAGATTGAAAGAACGTAAGTTCACTTTTAAAGCGACGCATTCGTCACCGTCGCTATCGTCGGATTTTAGGGTCCTTTTTGACATCTTGTATTTACAACATGTGGCATAATATTAGTACCAATTAGTTCGTACAGAAAAAAAACGTATGCTTGACTACTGACTAGGTAGAAAACACTACGTTGCCCAGTTTTCAGATTTAACCCTGATATATATTTCAGACAAGAGCATGTTGTGTTTCTGTCGTTTCGGTGAACGTACAATTTCTCTTGTCAGATCAAGCAATCTCAAAGAGACACGAGACTGGAAATATACCCTTACCTGGAGTACCGACGCTTTCTTCCTTCCCAATTTTTTTTTTTTTTTTTACAGCAGACAAATAAAACACTTGTCTCTCTTCTTTCATTCAAAGTAGATTTAATGCGAAGAATATGATCTTAACTCAGTTTTCCCCCCTTAGCTATTGAGACTGATAGGTACGATAAAATTTTGTTTCAAAATATGCAGGTGCTGTTAATTACACGGTTGTCAGCTATAGATCCTGGACAGTTGAATTAGGTGCAATTTGCCTACATGCACGTTATTGACAAATAGCCCATAACGTTTCAACAATCAAGTCTTTCTCTTTACTTCTTTACTCATAAATTACCATTCGTTCCTTCTAAATATTCAACATCTATAGAACAACAGATGACAACTTACATATCACATATAACTGGCAACTGGTCGGTTATTAGTGTTGCAGACACATGAACAACCGTGGGGTAAACGGAAGGTAATATATACGTCACAAACTTTTCAGGACCCATAGGCGGCGGAAGCATAACCTGTTTCAGGTGTTGAGATAGTGGAGTGGGG